TGGCGGTCCCGTCTGCCCGGGATCGGAGGGCACTCCGAGTGGGTATCTCGGGCCCAGGTGCAGGGAGACGGACGGCTGTCCCCTGGGCTCGGGCCCGCGGTGCCAAGGACGGGCATGTCCCCGGCTGGACAAAGCCGCCCACGGCTGGTGGGGCGAAGGCGGAGGTCTGCGCGGGAGGGCAGCCCTGGGCGTTGAGGGCGGCAGCGAATGGCCGCGGGCTGCCGGCTTGCGGGCGGGGAGAGCAGCAGGACGAGGGGAGTACCGGCCGGCGGGCCTCGGCGTGTGGCCGGGGCTGCGAGGTCCGGCGCCGGGATGGGCGGCTGCAGAGGGGCAGGGAGGTGCTCGGAGGGAGCCCCCGGGGCGGCTGCAAAAGGAGGGAAAGGCAAAAAGCCTACAGCACCCGGTATTCCCAGGCGGTCTCCCATCCAAGTACTAACCAGGCCCGACCCTGCTTAGCTTCCGAGATCAGACGGGATCGGGCGCGTTCAGGGTGGTATGGCCGTAGACGCTGAAACCTGCCGCTAGGAGCCCCAAGAGCTTCAGCCCAGCCTGCCGCGCGCGTGCGCCCACCACGCTGCCGGCCGCTCAGGCTGCGCGCGCCTCCCGGCTGGCTAGAACTTTCTCCCCCCGGTCGAGCTCGCTCCCTGCCTGTCTCGCTCCCTCTCCGGCCGCCTCTCATTCTCTCTCTCAGCTCCGCGGTCAGGAGAGCTGATATGTAGCTAAGGAACCTGAGAGCGGTCGGGGTGCTAGCCGCGGGAGGGGCGAGGCTCAGGCGGATCTAGCCAGCCGGGAGGCGCGCAGCCTGAGCGGCCGGGAGCGTGGTGCGCGCACGCGCGCGGCAGGCTGGGCTGAAGCTCTTGGGGCGCCTAGCGGCAAGTTTCAGTGTCTACGGCCATACCACCCTGAACGCGCCCGATCCCGTCTGATCTCGGAAGCTAAGCAGGGTCGGGCCTGGTTAGTACTTGGATGGGAGACCGCCTGGGAATACCGGGTGCTGTAGGCTTTTTGCCTTTCCCTCCTTTTGCCGCCGCCCGGGGGGCTCCCTCCGAGCACCTCCCTGCCCCTCTGCAGCCGCCCATCCCGGCGCCGGACCTCGCAGCCCCGGCCACACGCCGAGGACCGCCCGCCCGGACTCCCCTCGTCCTGCTGCTCTCCTCGCCCGGAAGCCGGCAGCCCGCGGACATTCGCTGCCGCCCTCAACGCCCCAGGGCTACCGGCGCAGACCTCCGCCTTCGCCCCACCAGCCGTAGGTGGCTTTGTCCAGCCGGGGACATGCCCGTCTTTGGCACCGCGGGCCCGAGCCCAGGGGACAACCGTCCGTCTCCCTGCACCTGGGCCCGAGATACCCACTCGGAGTGCCCTCCGATCCCGGGCAGACGGGACCGCCACCCGCCCCGCCCCTCCGGAGGTCTCCGTCTCCGCTGGCACGACCCTCGCCCCGGTCTCCCCCGAGAGCCAGGCGCCCTCCGTCCCGCCGCGGTCGCGCCGCACACGCCGGAAAAGAGCCGGGACCACCCGGCGGCCGGGGAGACGGAGCGGCGCGCCCACCGACCCCGGGACAGGCGACCACCAGGGCAAAGGCACCCACGCAACCCCACGCACCCGGGGTGCCTGCCGCTGCGGCTTTCCTCCCGCGGGCGGCACCCTGGCTAACTCACCTTATTAACCAACAAAAACGCAAAAGAAAACTTATCTCAATACAATGTGGAAAAGTACACGATGAAATCCAAGATCCTCTCCTGATACAAGTTCTCAACAAACTAGGCAAAGAGAGGAACTTCCTCAACTGATAACGGGAATCTAAGTGAACCCTATAGCTAACATCACACTGGTGCAAGACTGAGGCTTTCTCCCTAAACCAGAAACAGGGCCAGAAGGTCCACTCTCACCATTTCTGTACACAATGTATTGGAGGTCTTAAGTCCTTACAATGAGGCAAGAAAGAGAAATAAAAGGCACATATATTGGAAAGGAAGACAAACCTGACTTTATTCATCAATGATGTGACTGTGTAGAAAAATCCAAGGAATTTATTAAAAAAGCTACTAGAGTTAATAGTCGTACTTAGCAAAGCCACAAAATATAAGGTCAATAGACAAAAATAAGTTTATTGAATAATAAATTATTGAGAAATTGGACACTAGAATTTAAGGACTTGCCAGCACAGAACTGAAAAGTAGTAATGAAAAATATAGCGACCACAGGGAATAGTATCATGGAAATCAAAGTAGAACATGGTATCAAAAAAGAAAACGAATTCTCCAATGTTTAAAGTAATTCCAATTTTATTTTGCTCTTCTATCCTCAGCCAGTGAGCATGTCCACCACTGTAATTATGAGTTATCCATCCTTTTTAGTCAGAGAAGAACTGGATTAATAGGGAGAAATGGATTAATAGCAGAACTGAATTTATTATATATATTAATATATAGCAACAATGTATAAACATCCTTTTTGCTAATATAAGTATTTAAAATCTGACATTCTAAATTAAGCCAGTTTCTTTTCACTTGTGAAAAGTAAAGATTAAGATTTAAAAGTCATCTCTAAATTAGTTATTATCATTTAACTAAAAAATGCACCAGGACAAAACAAAACCCTTAACAGACAATTATGCATTTTAAAACATTTATTTTAAAAATCAGAATGCACTATATTTACTCACATATATTCCTGTTTATTACCAGACATCTTTTAGCATCTTCATCTGCTTCTATCAAACCTTCAAAGTGGATCCTGCTGCTGTTGATAATCACAGCAGCCTGTTGGGGGTAAAGTATGGGGAAAGAAAAATAATCATGTATTCCTCAAAATTCAGAAATAATATAACACTTAAAAAAAAGAAATAATATAACACTTGAGTGGGTAAAATGTGCATTTGTATGGTATCAGTGAAGGACAAAACAGTGATATAATTTCCATACACACTCTAAAATGAAGAATAATATAAACTCATCACATTTATTAACTATTAATCAATTAGCCAAATATTTTATATTATTTAAAATGATCAAATTCTAGATTTTTGTGGAATAGCTATTAAACGGATGAATGCTTCTCAAAAATTATAATTACATGTTTACACACAGAATCTCTTGGAAATGCAGTTTCCATGTGTGCATAAATGTTTTTCTCTCTCCACCCCCCACCCCCAAAATCTCTGAATTCAACATATACCTTCTATTTGAATTGTATAAGAGAAACAGATGTAATAGATGGTCCTCGGTTGCAAGCAGTTCATTCTGTATAGTGGAAGCAGGCATACATCCATACATAGAAATACTTCCGCAGTAGGGGATGCATTGGGAGCACAGAGTGCTGAAGATGTCGAAGTCTTCAGAGATCATTCTAGATATTAAAGTAGGATTTAACCAGTGGAAGTGAAGAGGAAAGGGTGGTGATGATGGGAGGAGTTATGTGGAGAGCACAGCCTGAACACTGCATGAGAAGCAGCCAAGAGCATCTTCAGAGAAGTGAGCAATGCATTTAAAAGGAGGTGCAGCGCAGGTATGCAGTAAAATGCAAAGGTTAGAAAAACAGGTTGGAATCAGATTGAGAGGTTTCTGGGTATAGTATTAGGGATTTTAATTTTTATAGTGTGTGTATAAAGGAGCAACTGAAAGTAAGAATATGGGGTGATGTGCCCAGAGTTGTCTGAAGGAAGATGACTGCTACTCTGGATTTCCAGCTGAGACAGGCCAGCTATATAAAAAGTTTGTATTATACTTTAAGGCCTCAATAAACCTTTCCCAATCTTAAACTATGAGAAGTTAATTAAATCTAGGAAAAAAACAAATCCCAATAAATGTTTTAATCCTTTTTTTTCACATGGTCTCAATATAATGGCCCCCTTCAAGTACATGCAATTTAAGATCCTAGAGTTCAATCAGCTCATTTTATAAAGAAACAGAAATCAAGAGAAGTGAAGGGACTTGATCATAGTTATACTATTTTGTCAGAAGTAGAATCCAAAGTAGGATAAAGGTCTTTAGAATCCACGTTATCTTTCCTCCACATTATCCGGCATTTAATAATATATACTTGTATGGTAATCATTTTAATGAGTCTTGGTTTAATTGGGGAGAAGAGAATTTAATATTTCACCCCCCCCCCAATTTTTTTAACCACAAGTGTTAAAACTAAACATTTTTTTTTCCCAAAGGAGGTCCTGAGGGAATCAGTTCTCATTAACAGAGACCATACATAACTATTTCAATTGTCAATAAATGGTTGTGCTTACAACTTTGAAAATGACAGAAAAGCAAAATTTTTACATTAAAAACCTCCGTGAGTTTGTTTCCTTTTTCTTAACAAAGTGTAAAAAAAAAATCAGACTAGTCTTATGATAGATTCTTAAAACAATGAAGACCAAATTGATTCATGTGTTATGTAACTGTAATCAACTTTTTTTGAGTACCTAACAGCAAATAAATGCTATTTATAAGAGTAGATATTTAAATAAAAACAAGACATAGCTCTACCACTAGTCATTTGTAATCAAATAATATTTGGCAACACATTATTCCTTACTAAAAGCAAATCTTGGACGTATTATCTAAGTATATATGCTAATTCACTTATACATATAAAGAACAAATAATATAATTAAAAATAAGAATATGTATTTTGCAATGAGCAAAAATCATTTGGGAAGAGAAAAAGTGTGGTTAAGCAAAAGAAGATTAGATGTTAAGTGTTATCAATACTGACCTGAAGATAAATACCACATATATAGTAGTAGTATAATAAGATAGTAAGATTGAAATGGTTAAGTCTTTCAGTATGGACACAAAATTACTAAAATTTTTATTCCTTTTTATTTTTTGCTGTTTATTTTGGAACGGAGCAAGATGATTTCAAGTTGGTAAAGATAAAACAAAGTTCCAAGATACATTAGTGAATGTGATTTCACTAGAAAAGTATGAATGTGATGGGATATATGTATTGAATATGCAGGATTTGGTCAGATTATGGAGGGTCTTAATGTTCAAGCTAAAGCACAGTGACTCCATTCTAAATTTTATGCTAAAGACAATTCAAATTCATTTAATGCGTATAGGCAAAAAAAGTCATAAAGAAAAATCTGTACAGTATATTTCAGTTATAATTAGGAGATCTGTATTTTTATCCCGGCTTTGCTACTACGTAACTGACGAGCATGAACAAGTCTACTTCTCTTGGTCTTAGTTCCTAACATGTAAAATGAAAGGGTTACACCAGATAATCTCAAGGAGTCGTGTTAGGTTAAAACAATTCCAATTATTCATGCCGAATCCAGATACCAAGGAAGAGTCTCAGTACTTAAGCAACGTTTTTCACCTCAAGTCCCTCAAAGAATAAAGCAAAGTAAAATTTTTTATGGTCCAGTTTGCATATAGTATGTTCTTTCGATCCAGTCTTTACTTAATTTTAAATATTATAAAGCATAAAAAATCAAAACTTTCCCACATGGTTTCAATGCAGAACATTTGGGAATTTTAAGTACATATTTTAAATAGGAGTACTATTATTTTAAATATATTTAACAATTCAATTCAGATTGACAAATACAATGGAAAAAGTAGATGACCTGAAGATTTTAAGAGATTAAACTCCACGTTACGCAAACTATAGAAAAACAATAAGCTACTGCAAATTAGTACATCACATTAAAATATATCTTAAAGTATATTTCCCCTCTTAAATGGCAGTGATTATGCATCAGTGCAACTACAGAGCATGTAAACATTTTTCTGACTAACCATCATCCATGTCCATAACAAATGCTATTTGGTTGGCTCCAAGGTCTTTTTTGGGGTCAGCTTTCTGAGTCTTCCTATTTTGAGTTACAGCCTCTACCCTAGATAACTGTAGGGTAGATGGATAACTGTAGCCATCCACCTAGAAATGCCTACTGTCTGAGGTTGGGGGAGCAGGTGGTAGACAGGTGAATCTGAGGAAATCGCTGACCTTTCTAAAATTAGAAAACGGATGTGACTCAGGGATTGGAGACAACTGTGTACCATAAGCAGTTTATACCTATGGATTTTTTAGGCAGGAAGCTTTGCCAAACTGATTAAGACTCAGGCTAGAGACAGCTTCAATATGATAACTGAATTCTCTCTCTCTAGGGCCCTTAATGTTAGGGAGGGGGAGATGAGAAGGGATGTCAGAGCTGGCTGGCTTCATCTTAGCCTTGCTTTTAAAATACCACTGAAAGGCTTATAAGATAACAGGTTGCTTTATTAAAAAGATCTATCCACCTGAACTTTAATCCAATACATTGGATTTTTAATATATTGGACATTCTCGAGAGCTAGCAACAAATCCAAGTTGCAACAGGATATGGAACAAAGTAAATACTCTTTGTTCTCATCAAAATTCAGAGCGTGTGGCTGTCAGGAAGTCCTTAGCATGTGCAGTGGCGTGCTAACCAGTTAACACAGATCTACAATAACTAATGAGGGGGCACGGACAGAAAGAGCTGCTTTCCTTGAAATCCAAGCCTCATCTCAACTTGATTTTTTTCATCCTCCTGGCAAGAAAAGGTACATCAACTTCCTTCAACACTAGGGAAATTCAAAATGTTTATTCATGAGTTTTCATTCACCTCTCTTTTACTTTACAGTATGTACACTTTAACAACAGAAAAGTGAGTTATCAAATTTCATTGGAAAATACTGACATACAGGTTAAGCATATTTCGTATCACTATGTATGCATGTATGCATGCATGTATGTAGTCTTGCCCCATTTCTATTGTCTGCTTCGGGTCTGAGACTCTGACTCCCTTCTGGCACGTCTCCTCTAAACAGGCTCTTCAGCATAGAGCAACTTCTCGAAGGTCAGATCTCTCCAGGTCAGTGGCCAGGATTCCGTTCTTCTTCACAAAGTGCTATGCTGGGTCTCTTTGGGTGGCCGTGTGTGATCCAACCAGATTGCTTTTGAACAAAAAGAGGAGTCAAAGAGAACTCGGGTTTCCAGAGAAAAATCAAGTGCTGCCCCCTATAACTCACAGTCTCTGTAGAGGAAGGTGTCTTCCTAAAGAGGTAGAAATAATAGGGGTGTGTGTTGCAGGTGCCCATATTTCAATGATACTGAATGAACACTGTATCTTTAAGGGCTGCATCTTTAAGGGCTTAAAATGGACTGACTCCACTCATCTGTCTGATTTTTTCATAAGTAAGCCAGAACACCATTGACCAAGGGGTCTGAAAGATTAACCAAAGAAGTTAGTGCATATTTCAAAGCAGTTATTCTACATATATACATACACATCTTTGAAGGACAAAGTCATTTTGAATCCACCAGGGCTGAAAACAAATACTTGGATATTTCACCTTTGTGAAGCACTTTGTAACTTAGAAAGCATTTCCCTGTCTTATATTTCTCACAGATTTCTCTGAACAATTTACAATAGAAAGGAAAGGTATCGATATACCATTTTTACAGATGAGGACACTGAGGCTTAAAAATCAAATGCCTATTATTAGCATGTTGTGGATCAAGACCACGGGCTTCTGGCTTCCATTTCAGGGTTCTATTATTATTATTATTATTATTATTATTATTATTATTATTATTTATTTTTAAATTTTTTTTTAGCTGAGCCATCCTGCCACCTGTTGGCAGCTCAGCTTGAGCCGGGCATCGAACTGCTCTTGCTCAGAGCTCACACTCTTGAGGGAGCTCTTAACCAACTGAGCCACTCGGCCGGCCCTCAGGGTTCTTTTTACTGAACATCACTGGCTAAAAGGCTTGGACTCAGTATCCTGCATTCTAGGCTGGGCTCCTCTCCATGTGGTTTGTATGTGGGTCATGAGAAGGAGTCACTCAAGAACTTAAAGTGAAGATGAAAGATTATCCTTTGAGAGTTAGGACACAAAACCAACACCTGCTGTGTCCCACAGTGGATATAAAAATTCACATTAAATACAGAAAAGAGCTTCCAGCTCAACAACACTTGACTAACTTGAATGAAGGCATAGCTGTATCCAAAGGAATTCTATGTAAGGGGATGAGAGTTATTCAACAACAGAAGATATAAATGCTAGAGACACAGAGTAAACACTGGAAGGAACCATCAGAGAAAGGGCGTCTTGGATCCAGTTCCTGTCTGGTTTGGTTTATAGGTGATGGGTAATAATGATCAGAGAGAAACTCGATCATACTAGAAAAACAGGCTTTAAGCAATTAGAATGAAAAATGTATTTGGTTAGAGTTTGTAAAGAAATATGTATGTCACAAGTGTTTAGAAATATGAAGCATGTTATATTGGTAGACTGAGAATTTACTGGTGGAGACATCTTGGTCAGTTCAATGTTTGAAGACATAGACAAAATAAAGGATGTGAAGCTGTGATGATCCCATATTCCTGTGACAACAAAAATGAACTGAGCCAAGGATATAACTGCAATCGGATCAAGGAGCAGAGGTCTTAGGTAAGAGTGGACTATGCAGTGATTCCTAATTGCTCTGGTAATTAGACTTCTTCCTCATGTCAGTGACACAGTACCCAAGCTATATGCAAATGAAATGTATATCGATCAGGGATTGAGCAAAGCCAGGTCACAGTACCTCTACCTAGTGGAAGGGAGTGGGACTGAGTTCAGCTGGGCTTTGAATAGAAGTTAAAGAGGGAGATCATATTATAGCCAAATAACACGGGGGGTATATAAATGGGATGTACTGAGCCTCTGTGCAGGAGTGCATGTGGGTCGTGCATATTGACTAGTTTTTTCCTCACGGGCACAGTTGTACCACTGAAAATGATCCAAGTATATATATGAACCCATGTTGTCTTCTCTGCTCTTCCTGTTGCCTTAGCTATTGGAACAAAAGCAGAATCCTTCTCCATGCCTGTTGTTTGTGGATCTGAACGCATAAGGACTCTTGGCTTAATATTCTTAAGTTTACCAGTAAGCTCTTCCTGTTATTATTATGTGTTCAGCAAGCACCCTTCTGATTAGAACTTGGCTCCCTGTATAGCTTGAATTTAGGAGGAAGCATGCTCTCTAAAGGACTTCAGCATCTGGATCACTTGCCAAGGGTTTCTCAACGTGAATGAGGTGATCACTGTGGTCCGCTCATCAATTTCAATGAGGTCATGTGATGTGAACCTGGATTTGGGAGGCCAGTTTACTTGAAAGTGCTCATGAGTCGGGTTTGTAAGGTCAGGGTTATGCACTGTGGAAAATCAACAAGGCAGTGCCATCCCAGTGATCTCTGGTTGTTAGCCAGCCTTCCTCTGGGAACAGCTCGCCATCACTACACACTGTCTCTTTTCTTTTAAAACATCTATAACTAGCTGTAGGATCTTGAGTAACTCAGTATACTGCATTATTTAGGAGCATGGGTTTAGAGTTGAATAGACCTGTCGTTAATTCCTAGCTCTGCCACATACTAGCTGTATGAACATGAGCAAGTTTCTTCTACTTTGAGCCATGGTTTTCACCTGAAAAGTGAAGATACCACCACCTGTTTACCAGGTTCTTATATGACTTTAAAAAATAACGCGTGTAAAGAGCTTTGCCCGGTGGTTGTCATGTATTAAGTACTTATTTTTTTTTAGTCATCTATACTTCCTGAATCTCATGTATAAAGAAAATGGGTCAGGAGTGGCCGGTTAGCTCAGGTGGTTAGAGCACAAGCTCAGAACACCAAGATTGCTGGTTCGATTCCCACATGGGTCAAGGAGCTGCACCCTCCACAACTAGATTGAAGACAACTACTTGACATGGAGCTGATGGGTTCTGGGGAAAAAAACACATGCCGTTCCCCAATAAAATTTCTAAAAAAATAAAAATGTTGATTTCTGTTCGATTAAAAAAAATAAGAAAATGGGTCAATTAAGTGGTCTCAGTATTCCTTTGTCCTTGGATATTTTCTCTGCCCCTCACTCCTCCTGACCCTGATTTTGTTTTTAATGGTCTCACCCACCCTTATAGTCTCTCATACTAGAAACTTAAACGTCCCATTTCCTTCTTTCCCTCCCTCACCTTCTACATCAGTTACTAAATCCTGTGGAGTTCATCATAAATGTCCTTAGAATCTATCATCTCTCCATTTCTACAGTCATCTCCTGGCTAGACCACTGTCAAAGAGCCCTTTCTTGTTGTGTCTTAGCTTTCAAAGTATCTTTTATATTGCTGCCAAAGTAATCCTGTCCCCGAACAAATCTTAGCACATTGCTGCCATGTTTAAGCAGCTGCTTGCTAACTATAGGCTACACCTAAACTACAAAACTTGGCCACAAAGCCCTTCTCAACCAAGTCCTTCAGTACCTCTCTAGAATTCTCTCCTACCACTCCCCTCTGAGGGCCTAGTCTCCAGCTGGTTTCTGCAGTTCTCCAAACATATCAGGCCCACACATGACTTGATGCCTATGCTCATGTTGCTCCCTCATGCTTTTCTTGACAAATGCCTATGGATCCTTAAGGTTCAGATCAAATATCACCTCTGTGAAGCCTTTTATGACTTCTTAAACAGTTAAAGCCATTTTTACTCCGCTGCTCATGTTCCCGCAGCGTTTTGTTCATACCACTGATAGAGCACTCATACAACTTCCTTAGGAAGACTATGTCCTCTGGAGCCAGACTGCCTGGGTTTGATGCCCCAACCCCACTAGTTAATAACCACCTACCCCGACCAAGTTATCTATGACTCCATATGCTTTTGTTTCTTCCTCTATAAATGGGAGAGCTGATAGTAATCTACTAAATAGACTGATGGGAGAATTCCATGAGTTAAGCCATAAAAACGATTAGCACAGTGTTGGTCATATACCAAGTGATTTGGTAATATTAACTTTATTATTTCTGTAATTTTAAGTACTTAAATGTCTATCTTTTCCGTAACATTGTAAGCACCTCTAGTGCAAAAAATAAACATTCTTATTCCTTAGTGTTATCAGAACTTGTAATAGTGCCTGGTTCATGCAGGCTGAATCAAAATCTTCCTTTCCAGTAAGAAATATCCACAGATGAGATAATATCAAGGTATAGTATAGTCCAGACCATCAAAATGTTTTGCAACTTGGGTACACTTTTATATCAGATATCCTCAAGGACTTTGGCTATTAAATTCATATTAATAGATACCTGCTATCCCTGGGTGATGCCATTTATTACCAGAGCATCAATTACCATCTATATGTGGACAGTGCTCAAATTTAAGTCTCTATCCCCATATTCTCTCCAGAATCCAGACAAATAAATTAAGCTAATCATCTAGATACCTCTTTTTAGATGTCCTATAAGCATTCAAAACTTGTCCAAAACTAAACTAAAATCTTCCCTGCAAATGTGCCCAACACACATGGCAGCCGGAACGATCTTCGTGAAAACGCACATGTCATCAAGCTGCTGCGCCTCATCCTGATGGGTCACACGGCCCTTCCCAACCCGGTCTCTGCCTCTCTCTGGCCTCACCCTGCACCATGCTCCTCCATGTCTTGGGCCTGGGCTTGCTGGGCTTCCTTCAGTTCCTTGAACTCGTCATGTTCTCTGTCCACTCCAAATATTTCCTTTGTCTAGAATGTTCCTCTCTATCCTTTTTACCAGGCTAAGTCCTACTCATTCTTCAAATCTCAATTCAAAAGCCTATTCTCACTATAATTTATGGTCACAGGATGTGGAGTACAGCGTAGGGTATAGAGTCAATGGAATTGTAACAGCTATATATGATGTCAGAGGGGTAGTAGATTGGGGGAGGGAGGTTATCACTTTGTGAGGGGTGTGAATGTCTAACTATTACATTGTTTTGTACACGGGAAACTAATTTAAATTGTTTTAAAAAAAGTGAAAAAAAAAGTCTATTCTCCAAGTAGGTTTTCTTAATCTCTTGACCTGGGCTACACTTACTTGCTATATATACATACTTCCATGGCACCATGCACTTTTCCCCTACCACTCATCATTTCTAGCTTCTTATTCACTGTTTGTCCTTACCTAGACTAGAAGCTCTAGCACCAGTGCAGCTCTGTTCATCCCAGAGCCAGGCACTGAGTACAAGGCTTTGCATGCAGTAGGTGCTCAATTAATATTATATTGTATAAAGTACTGATTATTTGAATTTTTAAACCTACAACTCATTCATACTTTCAAATATTTTCTAACTTATAAAATAATTGAGTATCTTGTTTTTTATTATGTATATTATTTTACTTAAATGAGTCTGTCTAATTCTCCATCTTATTTCAGTAAAAAATAACATCCAAACTAAATAAAAATGACATAGTGCTTTCTTACTAAACAGAGATTTGTGGTAATAAATATTAATGGGTAATACAACATTTGCTATCAAAGTAACAAATTGTGTTTGAAACAGTAACATTTTCATAGGAATGATCTCTAGTATATAATCTGTATACCTGTCCCAAACTATAATATTTTGGTTAAACAGACTACTAAAGGCTTTACTTTGCAGAAAATCTATCTATTGGCTTTTATAATGACAGAATATCAGCCTATTCATTTCTGGATGTAACTGAATTACTTTACTTTTATCTACCAAAGAAGGAAATAGAACTCTAAGGAGAGGTTAAAGAAAACAAAAAAGAAATATAAAAAAGAAGTAAAGAACTGTGGTTAGGGGCAGGGCCATGCAAAAAAAAAAAAAAGAAAAGAAAAAGAAAAAGAAAGGGGAAAATATTTACATATTAAAAGTAATTTAAGTACACAGAAAACAAAAACAAAGGAAGGAAAGACCTCACTTTACCATTCGCAGCCAAGATGGTAAAAAGCCTTTATAAAGACTCATGAGTCCTTCTCCTTGAACAGCCTGAAGCAAGCAGTCAGTAGATGATTTATACAAAAGTCCCCTAAAAGGAAATGAGACAATTTTGCTAAATTACTTGTGTCAATAGATGTATAAATAAAACTTAAATAAAAAAATAGCCTAAGGAAACTTACTATATGTTAAATATTTTCTGCTCGTTTAGAACAATTAATATTTGTGGTTCTGTATATAGTGTAATAAGTCCTCACTTAACGCTGATAGGTTCTGCGACTTGAAGCAAAATTATGTATATAACAAAACCAATTTTACCTAGGCTAATTGGTATAAAGAAGAGTTAAGTTCCTATAGTATCTCATCAACATTATAAGGAAATGACATTATAGATCATCTCTTTTGAGTTTAAGGATATTTTCACGGTTGACTCTATGCTTAGATTCAGTCTACCTGATCTCTTCCAGAGAGAGCACAGTGTTTGATATCAGAGCAAATTTTCCATGTTACCTGTTAAGTCATAAACTTCTGAAGAAAGTGCTCTGTAAATTCTCAGCAGAGCATGTTTTCAGAAACTCTTTGAAAACTATAAAGTCACAAGAAATATCTTGTCTAAATAATTTGATTGTTAAATTAGCTTATTTCCCCAAAGGCACTGTACTTTTTCATCAAAGAACAGGTAATTGCATAAAAACAATTTCCTGATTGAACACATAAACACATAAATACATTTCTATCAAGAAAAAATAAGGGAAACATCTTTAAAGAACAATGTTATTACAGACATTTAGACACATGGATACTGAAGACTTTCTCTCTACCTTCCTTGCTTATCTCGGGGTTGATTCATTATTCTGCTTTTGATGACATCAGCTGGTGTTCCCAGAATGGACGCTACCAGTCCAGAACATAAACTACAGATACAAATAAATGAGATTGAAAGATAATATATAGCAGTTTCTCAATTTTCAGAAAAGGGAATTTAATATTTAGAATGGAACACTAAATATATTACTATAACATTCTTCATAAATAATGCTCTTGTAGCTTAAAACCAATGCTAAATCAATTCATTAATGAAGTAAAAAAAAAAAACACCAAAAGAATGTCAGTCACTAAATATACACTAAACACCTTCTGGTGGCAGGTGCCCTTCTGGACAGTGAGCAAGACACACAAGATCCTGCCCTCAAGGCATTTGCACTACTTGGGGGAAGGCAGAGGAGAAGTGAGTAATTTCAGATGCTGATGTGCGCTATGAAAAAAATACTGTGGGGTAATGTGACATGGAGTGACTGGGTGACAGGCAGTAGTAGAAAGGCTCTTGGGGTGACAGAAGAACGGAGACCTGGTGAAAAAGAAGCATTTATGTGAAGAGCTAGAGGAAGGGCGTTGCAAGCAGAAGGAAGAGCACAGGAAAAGACTTGAATCAGGAACACTCTCGGTGTGTTTTAAGACACAGAAAGCAACCAACAGGGCTGCAGTGTCCTGAAGGAGTAAGAGTCCAGCCAGATGAAAGAGCGAAGTAGACAGAGAGCAGGCAGTCCATGAAGGCTGCTTAGGGAGTTTGATTTTATTCTAGATACTCTCTCTTTGCCTGTTATGCTCTAACAATATAACGAAGTGCAGTTCTCTGCACTTACCACACTCTCTGACACCTCCGTGCCTTGGATTCTTTCATTTGGAATGTCCTACGCCCCATCTAATGGGAAAATGTCTGTTCTTCTTGCTAACTATGCCCAGGCACAGGGTCTGATGAGTTTCTGCTTACCCATCTCTCTTTACCCAACAAGGTTAATCGCCCCTTGAAAAATCAAGGCTTCTTGTCAGTTACACAAAAGAGACAAAATCGATGTGGTCAAGCTACAGCAGAGTAAATCAAGAGTGTGTAAATGAGTGACTGAGAAGTTTAGACACCACTAGCAGCTCATTATGTGTGTAGGCACAAGAGGGGCAATATGGGAACATGTTCAGAAGTCCACAAACAGAAAATCAACTGCTTTAAACTTTTCCAGGAGAAACGCAGGTGATGAGAAGAGGGGTGGTCGATCTGAATCACGGAAAACAGAAGGCCCCAGGCCCAGAAGATGGCAGCTGATTCCACAGACCAGGGTCATTAGGTTTGGCTAATGGAAAGCTAGAAAGGAAAACTGTGTACAATGTGTATGTCTTTTTGGGACATCGAATACCTCATAGAGATAAGGGCCACTGAATTCCGTGCCAAGGCTTTGAAGTCTCCGGGGGTTCTGTGGTAGGCAAGTTGACACTGCCTCAGGAATCTTCGTATTCTTACTCTAAACTGCTGTAGCAGAAAAGTACCCAGACTCTTTCTACTTCTTCCAGGTCAAGATTCAGAATTCAAAGGAAAAGATCACTTTAGAACTACTTGAATTCAAGAGGAGAACCCATATAACCTATTTATATACTCCAGCATGTGACCCAGCTGTGCATATAGCTTTCCTTGGGCCTCTGTCCACATGACAGGCATTGCCTATGTGGAAAGAATGTATTGTTTCGCTGTGTATATTCTAGTAATGCAGACTACTGCTCTTTTCACATTCTTTACTATTTTTTCAGATTCTTTGAAACTAAAAGTTTAATATCATTGATTTTAAATACATTCATATTTTCACACACAAATGTCTCCACTAGCACAAAATTCACCTAACCTCTAAAACTATCTATTGGAAACAGACCACAAAACTAATCAAGAGGTAAGGAAGAACAAAGAAATAGGGCAAAAACAGATACACAATTTCCCCTTCTTTGCCCAAAAGACTGGAAGCAAACACTACATTTTTACTTGTTCATTTGCCTCAGGGAGGCTGGGTACCTCTCCACATAGGTGGCAAGAGTGAAAACTACTTCTAACAGAGTGTTAATATTTTAAACGTGTAATTGATTATTAGGCGATTTTTTTTACCTGCATATTAACCAAATCAAAGACGTCCTTCAGCAGCTGAGGACCCTTTTTGGCACACAGAGACCTTAGGATGCAGCTGCCAATGGTTTCATCCCATTCTTTTCAAATTATTTTAAGGCCACAGTATGATCTGGCTAGCCTTTTTAAAAAAATAAATGTTAAAAGAGAGCAAATAATGTATCAAAAAGGCCTCGAGTAAGATGGCATCTAGAGTCAAAGTGAGAAAAAAGAGCAGTAACAGGAACATCGATTTTGCCAAGCTACTTGTAATGGGCATTGCTGCTATTAACCTTTATCACTCCTTGCTAGTAATAACCCCAAATGAAGCCCAGGACACACCTAAAGTGGTAATAGAAAGTGATTGGGTAAGTCTTCAGTTCTCTCCAGGAGACCAAATGGCTATCTCTAAGACTAGTTTAAAATATTCCATCAGCACCGTGTCATAATCAGTGATTCTCTTCAGAATCAATGAATCAGTCATGTATAATTTTCACACAATGTAGACTTACCTTTTGCACAGTTTTACCTCTCAGTAACCTCATGATTTAAAAAAAGAAAAGAAAAAGGGGATTATCCTGGTCTTTCTGTTCTATACAATTTCCTGACCATTCAACTCCTCACCTTTCTCTGCTTCCCTTATTAACACACCTTGCACCTGCCTGCCCTCCTCACTAAAATCCTGGCCACCATCTTCTACTGCTCCTACCCTACCCCAGGACTTCATTTGACTCGCACCATTTTTTTAAAATTGTGCTAAAACAGACCCAGCATACAATATACCATTTTCACCATGTTTAATTGCATAGTTCAGTGTTTATACCATTTTTATTCTTTTCTTCATATCAAATTCCTTTTTCCTCAGAGGTTGATGGCTTGTATAAAGTTCTCTGTGCAGCTGCACTCCCCTTTGAGCCTCCATGAGCATTCATTTTATCCTATGACACAGCATCTAGAACTTTCAGATCACACAGCACTATTTACCTACTTAGATTTGAGTTCAGAGTTAGCAACTTTTGAGCTGCCTCACATTCCACGCACACTCATACCATCCCATTTAAAAACCTGATTTCGTGGTGGAGCTCAAAACTGAACCAAATACCAATCATTCCATGTTCTCAAAACCTGAATTAGAGAACAGTAAGGCTAAGTTATTTCAGATTTGGGCTGGAATATATCCAAATGGAAGTCTTAGGCCTTTCCAAAAAAGGCACATCTGTTAGGTGGAGCGGTGTACATTAAGCAGATTTACACCTGCTGGGAAATCCGTGAATCTTAGGTTATAAGTGTGGCATTTCAAGGACCATTTGGGTAGGAAGACAATGAAAAAGAAACAGAGATAATATCATTGTGGGACTTTCGGATAGACCTGAATATCCTGCTCCCAGTGTAAAGCTTAACACTGGAACAGGCAAGCATCTTGAAAGAAGAGGTCTCACAGGATGACTAGATTGGGTAGAAATTGAGGAAGAAGGTCTCACAGGCAGAGTGAACAGCTTGCATAAAGATAGAGGCCTAAAGAAGGAAGGTAAGGGTGACTACAGATAATACGTATGTTTATAAGGATGGAGGTAAAAGCAGAAGGAGGGCTAAAATCCTGTTTTCTCTGTGAAAGAAGAGGCCAGACTGTTGGGTAGAGATAGTATGGTATAGATTGTGAACACACCCGGGTGAGAGTTGGAATGGGAAAGAACAATGGGCAAAGACGTAAAAAGATTGCCATAGCAACACTAAAGATAACACTTATTTTAAAAGAAGAAGAATGAAGAAAAACTACTCTAGGAATACAAAGTTAAGGTGAACCTGAATTAGGCATCATTTATATCTATCTCTAAATATCATTGGTTTGATGCTGTTAACAAATTTTGAGGGTTATCTAAATAGCATAAAGAGTTCTAGAATTTGGAAACAAGATCAGAAGCTAAATAAAAGCACTATGATGTTAAGGATACCAGACAACTATAAAATAACCACTCTAATGGATATTTGAAATTGTGTTGCAAAGAGATTAAGGTACTACTGTTCCTTCCTGGAATGTTTGTCTTCCTGTCTTTTTGTCAAGAGCCACAGCCCTTTATAACACGTATTTAATTCTATCTCCTTTGTAGGCCCGCCCTTATTTTTTCTCCCTCCTCTCAACTCTACAGTAACTAGTCACTTTCTTTTAGCATTTACTGTTCAGTGTTTTTGTATTGTCTTGTTTTCTGCTTTGGTCAACTCCTTGGGAAGGAGCTGTGTTTACCTTTGGTACCCACTATAAGCCCTCCACAGTGCCTATGACATAAAAAATGCTCAAACATATTTGTTAAATTGAATTAGAGAATCGATCATCGGAATCTGACCCGAGGAGGGCCCCGGGGCCATCAAGGTGCAAATCTTTGGGGAGGTTTAATCTGCAACATTCTGCAACTTTGTCTCTCTCTTCCTATTTTAACTGCTATAAACTTTAAGAACATTGCTCTTTATAAATGTACTATCATCTTTCTCTAAGTGTGATATCACTAGATTCCCAATCAAAGGAGACAAAATTTAGAATGTATGCCAAATATGAAAGAAAATGTGATGCAGAGAAGAAAATAGATTCTAAAACTAAATCACTTACCTAGATAACATGTGAGTCATGATGTTGTCCTCAAGTGATGTATTCAATACCAAGTAGTGTTTCACTGTATCATAAGTGGTTAAATCTGGCAATCGAAAGAAAAAGAAGGCTTAAGTGTTTATTTATTCAACAATTAATATCTTTTGAATCTTAGAGGAAGGTGTGGGGTAAACAGGAGACCTTAGAAATAGTTTGGTCTTATCTCCTTATTGTCACAATTTGCTTATTTTTGGAAATCCTTTTCACATATCACTGTAGAAAAGAGTGAAAATGTTCTAGGGAAAATATTCAATTATGATATTACAACATAGAAGGAGACTGTTGCCAGTATATGTTATTAAAAATAATAAAAATTTTCATTTTCCCTGATGTGACTACTGATAATGATTAATTAGGCTTCTCAAAAATCAATCAAATTTCCATTACCTCCCATATTCACCAGCGCTGCTCTTTGTATATTGGGTACCCAGCCTGCCCAAAGCCCACGTATTCCTCCTTCAGCCAAGATTTTTGCAAATGCATGATGCACACCACGAAATCTAAAGGAAAATAATAATGAAATGTAAAAACTCTATGCATTCCTACGTATGGAATGCAATTGGATAAGCTTTGCCTATAGCTGTTATGATTTGGAGTAAAATAATACCCTAATTATCAAGAATTGTTAGAAATTAAAGCAATCCACATAAGTCTAATTTCCAGTTAAACTTAATAATCCTTTAGAAAAACGGCCAACATTTTATCAAACACTTTTTATGGAAATCTTTATAAACTGTGTCATCTTCTCTTCTCGTATTTTTGAACAGATTAAAATTCCTTTCTTGATAATTTATATCATCAGTGCACAAATTAATTATAGGAGGGAACCATGGATATACATCTGGGTTCATTTTACTAGCTTGTGGGAGACCTGTAAATTTTGTAATTTCACCAAATAACACTAAAAAAATTGATCTTCACAAAATCTCTTAAAAGAAATGGTATTTTTAGATCAAAAAGTAGGAAGGACAACCTCATCATAAGAGGTTTTATTCATTTATTTATTTTAGCTGAGCCATCCTGCCACCTGTTGGCAGCTCAGCAGCAGCTCAGCTTGGGCTGGGTATCAAACCACTGTTGCTCAGAGCTCACAATCTTGAGTGAGCTCTTAACCAACTGAGCCACTCGGCTGACCCCATAAGAGGTTTCAAAATTGAATAATTTGGCTTTGTGAACGTTTACTACCTTATTCTTATTTTGCTCATTTTTCTATACACAGATAAAAAACAGCGCTGAACCATGAACCAAATCTGGAAACCTCTGGTATAAAATAAAAGTCTGGATTTTATATAGTTAGAAATACCTATAGTCAGGGCCGGCCGAGTGGCGCGATGGTTAAGAACTGGCTTGGGATGCCAGAGGGC